AGACCCGAAGACCGAGCTTGAAGCGACTTAGCTATTTGAGTGTTGAGAATTCACCATCGGTGTAGGAACGTGATGATATAAACCATTGGCATCTATGGATATGACATTCAGTGATGGAGCGTTGAATTGAGTTCCATAAACTCCGTTACACGCCATGGATATGCTGGGTTGGGCTTGGAAAGTCGTTGTCGGAGCCAAAGGAGACTCGCTCAATACATGAGTAGAATTTACAATCGGTGGAACAAAATTAGGCATGGATGGAGCACCATTTTGTAGAGAAATTCCTGTGGGTCTTTCTTGAACTTCCACAACTGTTGGAACACCATTCATCGCGCCGGAAACTCCTCCAACCACCGATGGACCATGGCTCGATCCCCAGGTGTGTGATTTTGCACTCCATTTTGAGCAACTTTGGGGAGAATTGGGGGTTGGTCTTGATGGTTTTGACCATTCCCAACATCACCATGAAGTTGTTGATACTTGTCGGCGTTGACTTGACCTCCATTTATCGTCGATGGTGCGAAATTCAGACCCATCACCAACATGGTGTGGGTGAGATTTTGAAGGGTTGTAAGAATCTCTTATTGAGTGTGTTGAAGTATGAGAGGTGGGTCTTAAACTTGAGTCCTCTCATCACCACCATTGGAAGAGCCTTGTTGATGAACTTCTTCTTCTCCCGCCATTTTCACTGGAGTTATGTAGATTCCGGATCTTGTTGAGACCATTAACCAATATGCCTCCCCAGTGAAGTTGCCAAAATGTAAGAGAGGGTTCAAGAATGTTGTCAACAAATTCGAAGATCTTTGAAGAAAACTCGAATTCTCTAAAAATAATGAGAGGCTTAGATTCTTTAACAGTCACAACTAGAAACATAACAACAAAGAGTTGATGGAGATAAGAGATTGGGTAAAAAAGAAGGCAAAGTAGTTAGAGAGAGAATAATGACAAGGCTCTCCCATGGATCTCCCACTTTCACTCTTAAGGTAAATAATGGAGGAGGGAAATTAGTTCTTTTCTCAAAAATTGTCTCTCAAAAATCCATCCATTGTGAAGCTATGGATGAATGCTATTTATAGACACCTCATGATGTAGGATGGAGCCCATGTGCAAGGCACATGAGGAATTTTCCCTCTAATTATCTTGTCCGAGGAGGTGACCTCTTCAAGGATGAGGAAAACCCCGAAGAAGAAATCAACCTCTCGGCGAACCCCTCTTCTTAGCCATACCTAACTAATAATCCTCAATCATCCCAAAGGGTCAGGGGCAGTCCCAGAGGACGTTTTGCTGCAGAACGATCAGGGGTAGTTCAAGAGAACGCCCTGCAGCAAATATTGTCGAGTCTCAAGGACCACCTAGATCATGCCACCTCAACCCGAGCACATGCTAATTTAACCGAAGAGTGAATTTATTTTCACTCACCGTCCTTGGGATCGGGTCCTTTGTTCAGACTCCGTTATGCCCATGGTTCTGGTGCGTAGATCTCGGAAAGTTCCGACCCCGCAAGTATTCTGGGATTTATTAACAGAGCGACTTCTAGATTGCATTCGAATCCGTTCGAAGCCAAGCACTTCAAATCTCTAGATTCGTGAATTCAAACCCTTTAAGTCTGAACTCAAATAGCTCTCTGGGTTCGTGGTTCCGAACCCTTTCAAGACTAAGCCAATACCTCGGAGAATAGATCCCCTATCAGAGTTTCATCTCTTTTGAAAGTAATGGTTAACCTCGTCGAATGCCCGTATGATCTGGGCCTCCTTGGATGGGCTTGTTGGACTCTCTTAGAGATATCTGCTTGATGGGTCTTCCCTGGCCCAATTTATTGGCTTTCTTGTGAGCCCGTTCAATAGATTTCACTTGGGCCCATTTGGCAATAATTTCTATAAGCTCACTAATTTTTCAACTTTTCGATTGGGCTTCTGTCACGACCCGAGCCCGCCTCTATGGGTTCAGCGACGTAACCGGCTAGTAATCGTTGGATTACCGAAGGCCTCTTAGCTTAATAACATATAGTCAGAGGATGCGGAAGTAAATACATAAAGTATACATAGTCCATTGAGCTGTGTAGACATACATGAGACTGATAATTTTAAAACTTTTATAATCATACAAATGACGTCATAGATACAACATTTACACGTCACTAACAAGTACATACAAAAGGATCAGTCTTAAGCATTTACATTAACATAGCCACAAAACATGACATGATCTAGAACCTCCTCGGGAGGCACAAAGGGTGGCTGACAACATAAAAGTACCCCAGGCATCAACTTAAGCCTGATCACAAACCTGCTCACCTACATACATAATAAATAACTAGTGAGCGGTGGCCCAGTAAATAATAACAGAGTAAAAGGGTATATGAATGATGTCTCAATATCATAGCTGAAATAAAACAATTTACACTCATATTCTTGTTCTGAGCATGTAGACAAAAGTCAGAGTTCATACTTAATCTTTCGTATGCGTTTATCAGTACTAGTAGATCTCACACATAGTGACTTAAATTTTACTTGTCAGCTCTATAGAAGAACCTCCGGCCAGGTAAGGATAACTTATCAGTCCCATATAGGGACCTCCGGACTGGGAACTTGTGTACTTGTTAGTTCCACTTTGGAACCTCCAGCCGGGTACAGATAGCTTGTCAGTTCCATAGGAACCTCTGGTCTGAGAACTTATAGCATACTTGAATCATAGCATCATGTCACTTATAACGTACTTGAATCGTGGCATACATCACTTGCAACATACTTGAATCATAGCATGGCATCATAAATGCTTGTTAATGTCAGACAATCATTCATAGTATAAAACATGGTATTTCTTTCAACAGATCTTACTTCATATTCAGAAAATATATAAAGTTGAACATAACTTTACTAAGTTATTACTCACAGATAATAGGCGTCGTAAGTAGGCAATTCAACTTTCCTGTGGCACTTGACCTACACAGTTACAAAACGAACATATCCCGAATCACACACCTGAAATGATAACTTGGTCCTTTCTTGTTCTGGTGTGTACCTACATCATTATCCTCATTATGGGGTCTTCATTATGGCCTAGGGATGCCTAGAATGGAATGAGGATGCAAAAATGCACTTGAAAATATTTCTCAAATTTTGCTGAAAATAGGGTCCACGCTCGAGCGTGGATTTCCCCGCTCGAGCGGACATACAAGATGTGAAGGTTTGCTGGAGCGTGACTTCCCTTGCTCGAGCGAACTGTAAACTTGGAAAAAGTACTGGTTGCATGTTTTTCACGCTCGACGGACGCTCGATCCCCGCTCGAGCGTGAGACTTAGACCTTCGCTCGAGCGTGAATTCCCTCCCTCGAGTAGATTGTAAAACATATGAACTTCTGGGTATATGCATTTCACACTCGAGCGTGACTCACGTCGCTCAAGCAGAAGTGCACGTACTCAGAGTGATCGCTCGAGCGTGAAATCCCCCGCTCGAGCGTGGATCAAATTTCTGAAATTTCCAAATTTGATCTTCAAGCTCAAACTCAACCTTTAAAGCATCAAACCTCATTTTTCTGGGCCAAAACTTGAGAAAATGCATGAAAACCCTTAAAACAACATGAATTAAAGATCATTTCAAGAAATCATGGCTCATTGGCTTGCCAATGTGCAAAAATTCAACTTGAAACTCAAGAATAAATCATGAACATAACATGCATGCAATTCTTTGAATAAAAGCTCCTCAAAACATGATCAAATGTTACAAAACAACATGAAACTCAATGATTTCCCAAAAATTGAGGTGAATTCAAGACATGCATGAAGGAATTCTTGAAAATCAACTTCAAAATGCTATGAAACATGCATGCATGCATGATATGATCTATGTTCTCTAATTCTTTTTGTTCATCCTAAATTACTCAACTTAATCCTCATGAATTCATGTTTTAACATCACAATTACATAATCTAGGTGTTGAATTCATACCTCAACCTCTCAATGAAGCTCTAATTGGTGAATTCTCTAAAGTTCCAACCCAATCTCCTTGAATTCCCTAGCAATTCTCCTTTCCTCTTGCTTTTGATTTCAATTCTCCTTCCCTCTCTCTCTCCCTCTCACGTTTTTTGTAGAATAGGCTCAAAGGTGTATGCAAGTGGATGAGAAGAGGTGAGTGGACTCATAAAAGAAATGGTGTTTGATTAGCTAAAGTCATAGGCAATTAAGTGGGATTAAATTAATCTTATCTAATCGTTCCGAAACGAATTTCAATTGAACCTACCATACGGTCCTAAAAATTCCAATTAACACATAAATCAGATCAATTTCTGTATCGGATGCCGATAAGGCCTTCAATTTGCAATTCGAAACTAAAACATGTACAGATCTATCTACGTTGAACAGATAAAGACACAAAAATAATATAATGCACATGTAATTAACTCACGATCTCTTCTTAATTACTTGTTAGGCACACTTAAGCATGAATTAACGTTAGTTAAGGGTCGGGGTTGTTACAACTTCAATTGAGCCCAATTAATTTAGTAGACTCAAGTTCACCCATTTTACAAGATGTCAGGTGAATGAACACAATTGAACACTTTATAAAGGATCCGGATGACCAGCAAACTAACACTGACTTGCACTGCACTGCATTAATGGAAAATCCATAAAACTAACTTGCACAATATCATAGTATTTTCTGCTCATCAGATACAGATTAAATTCCTCCGCCCACTCATCGAAAAGATACCCAGTAATCACCACACTTCTATTTCTCCAGATGTGTGCTTAATGATTTTGTTCATCCATGTCCCAGAAGTAAAACCAACAACAAAAAACTGCTCCAAAAACTAATTCAACCTCATGAAAAGCAAGAGAAACAAACAGGCAAACAGAAAGAAACAGATGTGACGTAAATATTAAAATTGGAAGAGAGCCAACAAATTTGGTCCATATGAAGATCTCAACATCCCATACATGAAAGAATATATACAAAAACAAAAGGAATTGAAATAAGAATATAAAAAGGAGCAAATAGAAATAAACAAACCACCAAGAAGTCATGATGAAACAAATTTCACTCTAAAACAACTTACAAAATCACACGTTTGTATATATTTTATACACCTAGGTAATACAGAACACTGAAAAACAACAGATGATTAAAGTAAAATAAAAATTAAAAACGATAGGAAAAAAAAAACCCTCTTCAGTATATATCCAAGAAAGATGAAAAAGAAGAATCATATAGCCAAAATTACACATGTGCTAAACCCACAAATCACGACCTTCAACTCATTGTCTCATTGTCAAACCATATCGAATGACACAACCAGAATCATGATTCCACCTACTACTATACCCACAAACTTCGAGCGAACAGCTTCAAATGAGAACCAACAAAACGAATTTGAATAAGATGTCACAGTATCATACTAAAAAGCCCTCCAATTGTCTGAATCTCTCCTTGGAGTTTGACTTTCCAGCGACGTCTTAAACGGCCCACTTGTCCCAAATGGGTCGTTATCATCAAAAGAATGGAAACCATGACTGTCATCAAAATCGCTGGAGCTACGGATAGAATCAAACCTTGCGTAGTCTCGAGGTGGAAACAACCCATGGCTAGTATCAGAGTCTGCAGTGCTGCGGAAGGAATCAAATCTTGGAAATGAGTCTTGTGGTGGGAAGTATGACCCTTGACTATAATCAGAATCTCTAGTGCTGCGGATGGAATCAAACCTTGTTAAAGAGTCGTGTTGTGGAAAAAATCCACTGTCCTGCGTGTTAAAGGAATCAAATCTTGAGAAGTTGTCAAATGTGTGCTCTTCTGACCCTTTGCTGAACCTTCGTGGGGAGTTGTTGCTATAATTGTACATGGGGGTGCTTGGAACTGAGTCAAATGCGAATGTGCTCTTCTGTTGAAACAAATTATCCGCCTGTGGGGTGCTCGGAACAGAATCAAATGCGAACGTGCTCTTTTGAAACAGGCTATCTGCCTGTGGGGTGCTTGGAACTGAATCAAATACGAACGTGCTCTTCTTTTGAAATAGGTTATCTGCCTGTGGGGTGCTAGGAACAGAATCGAATACTAATGTGCTTTTATTTTGAAACAGGTTATCTGCCTGTGGGGTGCTTGGAACTGAATCAAATACGAACGTGCTCTTCTTTTGAAATAGGTTATCTGCCTGTGGGGTGCTAGGAACAGAATCGAATACTAATGTGCTTTTATTTTGAAACAGGTTATCTGCCTGTGGGGTGCTTGGAACTGAATCAAATACATATGTGCTCTTCTTTTGAAACAAGTTGTCTGACTGTGGGGAGTTCGCAGAATCTTCAAAAACAAATGGGCTCTTCCTTTGGTATGTGTCTTTATATGAAGAGTCTGTTCTTATTGGAGGTAAACCCAAGCCACCAGAATCAAAGAAGGAACTTTCCATATCCTGCAACAACATTTTAATTTAAATGAATAAGCAAAGCAGCCAAAGGACATCACATCTATGACCCAAACTTGTGAACAATTAAAAGTTCAAAGGCTTTTTAAATGAAAAAAAAAGAGTACATTATTGTGAAGAAGTTGATAAAAACCTCAAGGTGGATGTGATTTGCCAATTATCAGTGATATGTTATTCCTATATTCAATTCTTCTAATAATGTAACATTGTTATCAATCTATTTATCATATCTAAACATCATGTTTCATCACAAAATATTCAGTCGAAGTAATCAGAAGTTCATGAATGCAAGCAGCTATATTTCCTCTCCATCATTTTCCCATGCATGAAAGAACGGTGGTATGCATAAAAGCTTTAGCAACATTATTTGAAAATATTTTTGCATCAAACAAACTCTTATTTATGATATGAAAGTTGTGTGTAGTATTTCGCAGACGGTGCCCACTTAAAGGACCAATAGTTTCAGAGCCACAACAAAATTTAGAGTAAACTAGTAGGAACTACAAGATTTTCAGGATAATTGAGCAATGGAATGAATATAAAGAATGAAAAAACAGGAACTCAAAAGCACAAAAAGAAACTAGTGATTGCATTGGTTAGAAGATCAAAGTGTAAGTTGAAGCTGCCAAAGGAATTCCAAAGTCGACAGGGTCCAGCAATTTTCTACTTTCTTTTCTTTGTATTTCAATTCCCGTTTTTTTTTTTTTTTTTTTTTTTTTTTTGAGAGGAAAAAACATAATCTAGAAACGAACATTAAACCAAAAGACTCTGGAAAAAGGATTCTCATGGACAACAAAGAAAAGAGAGGGTGAATGAAGGGACATGGATCAAAACTTCACATTCATGGCTGCGCTGCATCTCAATTAATGCACAGAGCAAACTGGATTGCCACTCAAATCAAGAAGTTTTCATATACCTTTATAGGACCAGAACTGAAGTCCCAGCCTGAGTCGGTATCATAATGAGTATCAAATACACCCCAGTTTCGTTCATCAGCAATTTTGTCCCCAGAGAACACAGATTCAACACCCCCGTGTTCACTGCACCAATAAAATCATATAGAAATTCAGATTTCTTAATAAAACAGTAGGTCCAGATAGATGCTGTGCAATAGTTTTAAACGTTCGGACACCAATAAAAAATTTGAAATCCAATGCAGAAGGAAAATACAAAAAAGATACAACTTGTACCTCTGGGTCTCTCTAGCATGGGGTGAACCATCTGCACTGAAGTTCTTGCTAGATGGAGAATTTTGAGCATGAGCTGGACTGCCAGGTGGACTTCGAGCTACACCATCTTCGCTGTGAGCATCATCATGAATCCTTTCTCCTCCACTTGGTGGCGTTTCTGACTTATGATCAGCATTTGCAGATGAAACATGTACACCCTCTTTTGTGGAAGATGCTTTACTAACAACTGATGAGGATTTTGATTTGGGAGGGGCTACAACATTTTCCACGTCAAGAGTAAGCTCTTTGACAAATGTGAAACCTGGAAGTGGCAAGAGTTCATAAGAATTACAATACAACTACAACTTGCACATCTTGGCTTCAGGTTCCCTATACCAGAAAATTTTCAATCCACAAAACATTTAGGCCAATCAAAAAAGGGAGCATTAGATGCATTTTAAGGTCAAGTTTGGCATGCTTGAAAAAAGATAAAAGGTCACTATCCTATTTAAATCACATCATCTTATTTAAGTCACATCACCTCTCTAACATATCACTTCAAACTCAATCCATATTTCATAAAATGTCAAGAAGTGCACTAATTTAGATCATCCCAAACAACCCCTCCAAGAAGACTAACAATTAGTACAGACACTCAAAGATCCATCATCAACGAAATTAAGCATGGTTTTTTAAAAACGGATTCCCGTTTTTTTTTTTTTTTTTTTTTTTTTTTTGAGAGGAAAAAACATAATCTAGAAACGAACATTAAACCAAAAGACTCTGGAAAAAGGATTCTCATGGACAACAAAGAAAAGAGAGGGTGAATTAAGGGACATGGATCAAAACTTCACATTCATGGCTGCGCTGCATCTCAATTAATGCACAGAGCAAACTGGATTGCCACTCAAATCAAGAAGTTTTCATATACCTTTATAGGACCAGAACTGAAGTCCCAGCCTGAGTCGGTATCATAATGAGTATCAAATACACCCCAGTTTCGTTCATCAGCAATTTTGTCCCCAGAGAACACAGATTCAACACCCCCGTGTTCACTGCACCAATAAAATCATATAGAAATTCAGATTTCTTAATAAAACAGTAGGTCCAGGTAGATGCTGTGCAATAGTTTTAAACATTCGGACACCAATAAAAAATTTGAAATCCAATGCAGAAGGAAAATACAAAAAAGATACAACTTGTACCTCTGGGTCTCTCCAGCATGGGGTGAACCATCTGCACTGAAGTTCTTGCTAGATGGAGAATTTTGAGCATGAGCTGGACTGCCAGGTGGACTTCGAGCTACACCATCTTCGCTGTGAGCATCATCACGAATCCTTTCTCCTCCACTTGGTGGCGTTTCTGACTTATGATCAGCATTTGCAGATGAAACATGTACACCCTCTTTTGTGGAAGATGCTTTACTAACAACTGATGAGGATTTTGATTTGGGAGGGGCTACAACATTTTCCACGTCAAGAGTAAGCTCTTTGACAAATGTGAAACCTGGAAGTGGCAAGAGTTCATAAGAATTACAATACAACTACAACTTGCACATCTTCGCTCCAGATTCTCTATACCAGAAAATTTTCAATCCACAAAACATTTAGGTCAATCATAAAGGGAGGCATTAGATGCATTTTAAGGTCAAGTTTGGCATGCTTGAAAAAAGATAAAAAGTCACTATCCTATTTAAATCACATCATCTTATTTAAGTCACATCACCTCTCTAACATATCACTTCAAACTCAATCCATATTTCATAAAATGTCAAGAAGTGCACTAATTTAGATCATCCCAAACAACCCCTCCAAGAAGACTAACCATTAGTACAGACACTCAAAGATCCATCATCAAACACTTCTTGTCGAAAAGATACTCAAGCTAAATGTCCGCTTAATCCTATATGAAAACTGGTTGACATACCTTCATCTTCAAACTTGTCCCAATTTTCGTCCCAATCAGCTGCCCCTTCTTGGATTCCAGGTTGCCAACCTTAACAAAATCAACAAAAAGGAAGAAAAAGAAAATTACAGAATCAAAACACAATAATGAAAATAAAGTAAAGGAGGGAAAACTGATTTTCAGCTATTGCCCTGCTAGGAAACTTGTCTGTAGTTTATATGGCAATGTATGGGCAACAACTTCACTTTTACTACTTCGCATACTGTTTAAATTTTTCGAAGAAGGAATAAGGGTGTACCCCAAAACAAAGAAGAAAGTGGCCACTTAATTAACACACAAGATTGATTGTGACCAATATGGCATGAAATTTCAAAATAATAGAAGTAAAAACTTCTGCCTTCAAGAATTTTAAGAAAGGCAAATAAATAAATAAATAGAGGACAGTCTTTCTATATTCATTTACCACTATATATATTTCTTATTTAATATAATCTTAAATCATTTAGACACTGAAATCATCAGCCAAAAAAACTAAAAATTTATTAAAGGGATGTGCCCAAAAAAAAAAAACAAAAAAGGCAGGCTATGATGGAAAATTGATCACAGAACCCCAGTTTAACTAAAAAGGGCTACCTTCAAATCACAGGATCTAGGATAAGTTAACTTACCAACATGAAAGCCAAACTCTAAAAATTTAATCAGCCAAGTTAAAGGAATTGCACTTTCCAATAATATATCCCACCATGTGCTTGAAACAAACATTGTGCTCAGAAAGGGATTCAAAACCAAAAACCAAGAACACAAGCAAAGGATATGAAAGTCAAAACCACAAGAATTACATATTATATTCAGATAATATATGCCAATGTCCGGGAGTGATTGTAATCAGCAAACTCATTACCAAAGCCTGAAAAAAAAAATCCTGAATTTTGAGTTCTGAATTTAAACGCCTTTCTTACAGTAATGGTAATAAATGTGTCAATGAGGACATCAGACATAATAATAAATAATTTATTTTACTCTTTGCTTGTCTCGCATGTTACCAAAGGTTAACATGGTAGAAATATTTTAGAATTAAAATCGAATGCACAGTTTAATTACACCAAAAGGTAAGTATGGTAAGAAAAGTACCAAAAGGAAGTTCATTCAGTGTGGTTGGCTTAGCACGTAATCCATAACTTTTGCAACGTTCATTCAAGGATTTCACTAGCTCATCCAGTTCTGATTGGATTTTATCAGCATTAACCTGCAGAAGCCAGATAACTGAACTCAAACTACTCCCAAATGACCGCAAGAGAGCAATAAGCACTAGAATATACCTGAATACTATCAGCTTTGCCATCTTGTTCCATTTTGACAATTGCCCGATACAGCTCCATTTTGTTCTCCTACAAAGGATTCAGTGCAATGTGATATTGTTTGATAAATGAGTAAATCACAGAATCTTAATACCAACTGCACCATGTACAATCAAACTAGCTAACCAGACAAACAAAAACTGGCCACCATTCAACCAAAAGAAGTAATTGATATACCTGAATGTCACGAAATGTTGCCTCCTCAATAGTTAATTTAGAGGCTACATCTCCAATCTGCTTGTATTTTTCTTCATATTTCTTTGCAAGTGACTCAGCCTGGAATACAAGTTGCTCCCATTAGTCCAAAGGAAACAAAAGCTCATGTGGAGAACATAAGAAATCCTGAAAAGTAAAATTACCTCGCGTTTGTCCCCGGAAGTCCTTTCAATGATCTCATTTAGCCGATTGTCACATCTGCTTTTGTATAAAATCTGAAACCAAATGTCAAAATATTTAGGAGTACTGAAGTATAAATATTGCATTTCGATTTCTAATATTTGTTGCTCAAAGAACTCAGTTGTAATTTGTAAAGCAAAAACAAAGAAAACATACTGCTCTCTCATTGAATTGCTCAGAGAACCAAAAGTCATGAAAAATGAAATTATTATGTATTTTATATTTGTCTAGACTTGTATCAGATACAAGAAAGGGGTGAGCTGGATAAGACATATATAGCTAATCCAGCCCTAGCATACACATGATTTTTAACAGCCCATTTGGTTTGTGTTTTGTTTCATGTTTTTGTAACTTTTAGAAAACTATTTTCAAAACAAGGCTCCAAAATTAATTGAAGACACATTTTTTATAATGGGTTTGGTTACAGAAAGTATCTAGGTTTAGGGTTCTAATAAGAAGAGGAAAGCTTCTACAGCTTCCAGATGTTGAAAAAAAAAACTACAAATGGATTGACCTAGAAGGCGTTGAGTTGCTGGATTCGAGAAAAAATAGTTGCTGGAAAATTCTGGACAATAGCTATTAATGGTAATATGGTGTTGAATCAAAAGGGAAAAATGGTAGTTCTAGGGGAATTCTCGGTATCTATTAGGTTTAGGAATTGTGGCATTAGTGAATGGTGGATAACAAGGGTATATAGTCCCAATGGCACTAGGGTCAGGAAAGCTTTTTGAGAGAGAGTTATATGGTTTGTTTAACCTTTGTTCTCTTAATTGGTATTTTGGCGTTGACTTTAATGTATCAGATTTATGAAGAGAACTCATCAAATTTGACTATAACCATGCAATTTTTATTTTTTAAAATTGGATCAAAGGCATGTGCTATCTTTGTTGCCCACATCTTTATCTTAATCATGATATTCCAGTACCCTACCCTCTTGCTTACTTTATTCTTCCATCATCGTGGCTTTGCCTGAGACATAAATAATCAGAATCCCCCAAAATTTACCCACAGATAAATCAATTGATTCATGTATTCCTCAACAAGCTTAGACCTACAGATTACTGAAGACAAAGAAATAGAAAGAAAAATTGGGGAAATACTCACAATTTCTTGCATCTTGGAGCGGTAGAACCCAATTTTTTCTCTAGAATCTAAAATTTCCTTCTCCAATTCTTCCACCTGCAATTCGGAAGGGAAAAAAAAGTAGGCCATGTGTCAGAAAAATAAAGTTTCTTGAGAATAAGTGAATCATAAAAGTAAAATTGATGCAGTTTGCAGAATGTCACAGCAAAAGAACACAAAATTTCAAGCAACGATCACTAAAGTGAACCCATGGATGGCAATCTGCCCTGATTTTCAGTGAACCTACCCCATCCCTGATGGGACAGGTTTGGGAATGAAATAATCAGGGCAGGGAGAGTTCGGGTTTAGGCCACTCCACCACAGTGTGCTTGCAAAACCTCCAAAGTACCCCCTCATTATTTCATGAAGTTACATATAATATACCCCTTATATATAAATGGAATCTGTGATTTTCATCTTCATTAATGTTTAACCCTCAACACCTCCACCAGTCCACATCGTCTCTCTCCACTTGAGGTTTTTTTATCATTACTGGAAATCATCACCATTTATTGTTGCTTGCTAGTGATTGTCATCAACTAGAGGGTTAAGTTCGTCACCCACAATGAGGAGCTTCAGGTTTGTCCTCTTCTCCCCTCTTAAGATATCGTCCCTCTATTTCCCTATTTTGAGAACCGATGTTTTCAAATTTGACCAAGTCAACCGAAGGATTGGTTTTGTTGAAGTTTGCCACCAATCATTTTGTCCTCTTCATTTAAACCATGACTCTTTCGATACATAAACCTATATATATTATGTATATTTCTCTTGCCATACTGATGGTCTCTACGTTTGTATGTATAAAAAATTCAAAATATTCAATGGGATCAGTTGACAAAGTAACGGAGATACATTTTCTTGCCCCAGCAGTTAACTTTGTTTGGTTGCCATGAAAATATTAAAAAAGTGAAGAAAACACAAACCTATAGCTTTAGCGGGGAAGGAATTTCTAAACCCCACTGGGTATTACATCCCCCCCGTGGTGGGTTTGGGACAGCGATGGGAGAGGGGTTTCTCCATGGCAGGGTAGGGGACCTGGCGCGCGCGCACACACAAAACACACTCACATTCAAGGACCATTGTTATTCAGCAAACTCCGGAATCAGTAACTAAATTCTAGTATCGCACATCTCATTTTCTCCAACAAAGTTAGTTAAAATTTAATGAGAGAAGCACAAAGATAAAAAATTTAGGAAATAACCTTCAGCATGATTCATCAGTCTATAATTTTAATCATAATCTAATGCAACAGTTGTCAATAAATCAAGTCACATGCACATCTTCATCAGTAATCCACCTTAGTAATCCCAAAATGTGTTTTGATAGTTAACTAGGATGGCATACTCCAGCAAACGACAGAAAACATAGAAAGCCACTTATTTTCCAAGACCCATCCTGGAATAACCATCTTTTTACATTCTCATGTGACTGTTGTAACAACCTTAAACTTATCAAAAATTGGGATTCCAGATTACAACAGATGAGCAAGTGCGGCTAATCCAGAGCTGTTTTCCTGTAACACACCAATGAGGAAAGAGAGACGTCCAGCAACTAATTTCTCCAAGTAGTGCAGAAAAGTTCTAGCACACTAACAGAGAATGCATATCTATATAAACATATAAATACCATAATACTTGCTGCTTGATTTTGATATACAATGACATTTATCGTTCTATCAAAAAGGAATCCAAGTACGAAGCCAAAGCCTTGAATGCATGATGAAAAAAGCACAATTAGTAAACAAAAGAAACAGAAGGCACCTTTTTATTTGCCTCAGTTGCCTCTTGGAACTTTGAGTTAAGTGAATTCTGCTCCTCTTCACTTAGCTGGTTCAGAAGATGCTTCTCCAGAACTGGAACTTTGGACTTCTGCAGAGTAGGCTGCATGGCTTCATCTGGCAGAGGAACAGAAACTTGATTTGGTGGTCTTGCTCTAGCAGCAGGAGTACCTGGCTGTGCACCAGGCATCACTTGAGCCTGTTGCAAACCTATTCACAAAGATGATAGAAGAAATAAACAAATAAGTACACGATATCAGGAACTGAAAGAGTCATGAAAAAAATATGTACCAGGGGTAGGTCTCCAAGTTGCACTGCCATAAGCTGCAGCAGGTTGGCCAGAGGCAGGCAATAGTGTCTCATTAAACATAATACCACTTGGAAGTGTTCTAGGAAGAGGGCGGCCTTCCCTATACCGTTCCATCAAATACACCGCAATACAGAATTCTCTCAAAGAAAGCATGCTATCATTATCTTGATCAGATAAGTCCCAAACCTGCTTCAAGACCTCTGACACACCAAGAATACCAGCAACAAACACAACGTTATCAAGAAATTTAGCTACTGCCTTTGAAAAAAATAGTAAAAACAAAAATACGAAAAATGTATTCAAAGTGCACTTGCTCCCTGGTATGAGTTTAAGGGGATTCACACAAGTCTAATGTTAAATTTTGTAATAAAATTCTTACGCGTACCAAAAAGAACAAACAAAATATGACGTTGTCCAGATATCAAGGGGCACTTTATTCTATACCAATTGCCAAGTGACTGACATGAAGCCAAACAATTGAACCAAAAGTGACATACAAATCCTTATACAACCCATTAGTTCCACGTTTAGACTTCAACAATATCCAAAATCCTATTTTCAGATCTCATGAAATTTTTTCTATATAATGACCTGTGGCTTAAAACTGCATTCTGACCAGAATACTGACTTCTATCAAAGACACAAAACTAATCTTCATAGCATTTGACTTTTGATTGCCAAAGCTTTTTCCAACTGGACCTTTATTAGCTTAAGCTATAATCACTACAGAAACAACCCAAATTCTGAAATACAGACTGAAAAATGCATGTTCTCAGATACAACCACAATGACTAAAATGGAGCGTCCGTCATAATACTCAGCAGTTCAATTACACCTGAATGGTGATATCTAACAACCACTGCCAAACAACTTATAGAGGGCACAATGCTACCATGATTCATTAGCAGAAAATTACATTTGGCATGCTAGCATGGTCATCATGAGTGCATAAAGCTCCAAGAATTAAATTGTATAATACTCTTATATGTCGCACCCATCAATCTCCATCCAATCATGAACATAGAGTTCAACTAAACTCAACATGCCTTAAATCCAATTATTTGTGTTGGCAATGAAGATTCATTTTCACCACTCGCCATATCCTTGCTTAAAGGTCCGAGGCAATTATGTCATTTCGGATAGCCTTAGCATCTATTCTTTTTGGACTTCCTTACGTCCTTTAGCATCTTCAAATAGATTAAGCCACTCTTACAAAGTGTGTGTCAATTGGTCTACATTGGACAAGGCCAAACCATCCCAAACAACTACCTGAATTTATCTTCAATATGCACTAGTTCTAGCTTCCAGTGAATGCATTGATCTCTTGTTCTATCTCTATTATAACCCCACTCACTGATCTCAATATTCCCCTCTAGCTTCTACATATCTTCTTAAATATGTTGTTTCTCATAAAAAAGACATAGTTGGCCTTATCACCATTTTATAGAATCATAAATCTGAAGCAGAGAGTAGAATATCGCATTTTATGTAATAATGTAATTTAAGTTCAGACAATCTGTATAGAATTAAAAATGTGATCATCGGTTGCAAGCAATTGTGCCAACAGCCAGTAGCCTCCATGCATACATGAAACATCTATTGCACTTTGCTAATTTGCCTCAAACTATATTTTCACTACTAATATAGCAGAAGCATTAGATCAACATGTGTGTGTGAGAGAGAGAGAGAGGTGTATAAAATTCAAATATTGATTTAAAATGAAGCATGTCCTACCTCGTGGCAGCCTCCAACTTAAGAACAGGTTGCGTGCCTGTTCACCAGTTACTTTTCCATCTCTATCTGTGTCTACTTCCACAAATACTTTGGTGTACTTCTGAACATCAGACTGAGTCATCCTTGGCCATGGAATCTGGGATTGGTCAGAAGCAGAATTTCCAGCTCCAACTGGAAAACCAGCACTAGCAGAACTGAAGGCTGTCGAACTCTGCACAGAAGCTTGTTGGATTCCTTTGACAGTTGGCTGCACTTGCTGGGGCTGACTGCCCACAGATTGCTGAGAAAATGCAGTTTGTAAGGATCCAAGTGGGCTTGGCCTAGCTGTAGATTGAGATCCAGTAGATGTTGGAACAATAGCTGATGAAACAGGCAAGTTGCTGGCAGAAGATTCAGGTGCTGATGAATCTTGTGTTGGTTGAGACGAGGTTACAGAAAATACATCTCCAAAAACAGAGTCAGATGCAAACCCATTTTCAGAAACAGCCAGTGCTTTAGAATCCTCAGCTCCCACCTCGGAGGACGGCAAAGTTGGGTCATGTGGTTTTGGTGCAGCAGGAGGCATCAACCCAGTGGTTGCATGCGGTCTAGGCTGTGAGGCTGTCATACCTGGTGCTGCCATCCCAAATCCATCCTGAGTTATGGATGGAGTAATCCCTCTGTTAGGAATTTGAGCCACTCCTGCAGGGGGGCCACCTGTCCTTCCACCAAGCCAACCAGTGGAGATGTTTGTGCTTGAAGGAGGAGCTGTCATAGTACCTACACCAGACATTCCTTGACTTGGAACACCCTGCTGTGGGTGAAATGCAGTACTAGGAGGCATGGGTCGAGGTGGTTTTCCCAGGTGATTTTGCTGAGGAGGAAAAAACTGTTGGCCCATGCTTGGATTTGCAGATACCTGTGGCCCTCTGACACCAATATTTTGGGAAGGCATTAGGGTGGTGCCACTCAACTGTGGGACAGGTGTACCTGGCATAGGACTTGATGCAGCAGGTGTGGCTGCAAAATTTATCTGGGGAGCAGGAATTTTAGCTGAAGCAGGACCATATAATGCAGCCTTCACAATGTCTGGGGTCAGTTCTCGCTTACTTTGTGCAACAGTGACAAGTTTAAGAAGATTATAAAACTCGGCTCTACCAAGGAAACCAGTTTTATGTTGATCAGCATACATCCATATCTGTTTAAAGAACCACAAGAATGACTTGTCAGTGAGAAGGGACTACATTCATTAAATATGATAATTGTGCATATTGTGGATCCATTGAAACTAATGGAATTCACAAAACAACAGCATTTGTGAAAAAAGGGAGAAAAATATTTTTCTCCATGGCAGGATGATCATCTACATCATTCACTTAAATAATCGTGTGTATAATATGCGGGAGGAAAGCAGCACTAGAAGTCTCTAAAATAGCTCCCATATGCTATTTACCAGTGCCATCAAAACTACAACAACAGATATAGAGATTAATAAAATAAATTCCTCAAAACACAAGAAGCTTAGCAAAATTTGCATCATGTATCCTAACATAAAGAAGCTACCAAGTTTAGAATCATGTTAGAACTCACACTCTAGCTTTCTAGTTCTAAGGTTTAAATCAAATCACAACATGCAACAAAATAAATAATCTAATACTGCAGCATTAAAAGAATGGACAACAACCGCTGATGTAATCAGGAATCTCTGGCTCCACTCTCTCAAATCAATCCCATAAGCCTCTTATACGTGTGGAGGTAGAAGGCCAAAGTATTGTGAACATCAAATAGACAAGACCAACTCACTTTCAAGTATAAAAATTAATACTCTAGTTGACTTCATTCTTGAGGCAATCACATACATTCTGAAATAGATCCAATATTCTTCAGCAGATACTTCTCCCCAGACATGGAGAAAGGGAGGGGAGGGCCATAGGAGAACATGACCCTCCTAAAGATTTTAATCAACCAGAATAATAATAGAGGGAAAATGATTTATAAACTAATATTTTATATAGAAAAGTCACCTATAATTGACAACATTTTTTAAATTATGAGTCACAACGTCAGTAGGTATCTTAGTTTGAAATACAAGGACCGCAAAAAGACATCATTTTGTATGAGATTTTATTACAAAATTCTATTTGCTTAGCATTATCCTTTTAGGTATCTTAGTTTGAAATATAAGGACCGCAAAAGGACATCATTTTGTATGAGATTTTATTACAAAATTATATTTGCTTAGCATTATCCTTTTGATTGATGGCTTTTATCATTATGATGGACAAATAGAAGACCATTCAATTGATTTGTTATATATTGTAAGCTAACCGTCGTTCATATAAGATAAAACAAGTAAGCATTTAACTTTTAATTAGGCTAACTTGATTCATGGTCATCTTATGGTTTTGGCAAAAGTAATATTCATACAATAATCACCTAGATGAGAGGGAAGACATGAAAAGTCGCCGGCCCCCGGACTTATATATATATATATTGTAGTATTCTTCCATGTAAATATCGGCTGGCCCCCACCAAATGACTTGCTGCCTTCGTCCGTATAACCAGATATCAAGGCCTCTGACATATAATATACTCAATTCCACTACAATTCTATCCTCATTCAAAGTCAATGTAGCCTAAAATAGAATCTCCAGATTCCAAACCTATCTGCACCTAGTGTTACAATGTAAAAGTACTTCCTGACGGACTATGAAGCACCGACACATTCCCAGGCTCTGCGTACGAGTGTCGGACACGTGTCAGACACGAACACGCGTCGGACACGCGGTAGACACGTGTCCGACACTCTCTCTAACGTGTCTCCTTTTTTTTTTGAAATCTTCCAGTCGGACACACCATGGACACGGCGGGACACTTTTCGGACACTCGTGAGGTGGATCGAAGAAGCCCTAACTGTTTTCCTTGATCGACAGAGAAAGAGATAAAGGGATCGAGGGAGACAGAGAAAGAGAGAGAGATCGAGAGAGGAGAGAAGACAGAGAAAGAGAGAAAGAGATCGAGGAAGAGGAGAAGTTAACCTGTTCAGATCCAAGAAGCTGAAGCTGAAGCTGAGGTATTCTTCTTCTTCTCTTTCTTCTCTTCGTCTTCTCTGTCTCCATCATCTCTGTTCTTCTTCTCCTCTTCATTTTCTTCCTCTCCTCCTCCCTTTCGTCTCCCTTTTCTCTGACTCTCCTTTCCTCTGCTTTTTGACTTCACTTTCTCTCTCCTCTATCTTTTCTCTTTTATATTTTTTTCATCTCTTTTGATTCAACGTTTCTCTCTCCCCCTCTCTTTTTTTTTTCTTTTTTCTTTTTTCTTTATCCTTATTTTTATGTTAAACTTAAAATTCATAAAATAAATTATTTTTATTTAAAAAAACTCATTTTTTATTAATTTTTTAAAAAAAAATTATTTATTAATTTTATTATTATTTTGATTGTATAAGAATTAATGATTTTATTTTTATTTTAGACATATAATAAATAAATAAAATTATATATATTAAACGTGTCCTCAGCGTATCGTGTCCCCTATTTTTTGAAATTTTGTTTTTTCACGTGTCCGTGTTGTGTCCGTATCGTGTCCTGTGTCCGTGTCCGTGCTACATAGCTGACGGATAAGTGTTTGTCCTACAGCAAATGTATAGGCTAGGGAACTTTTGCACTGATTAATATGGAAATCAGAGACTGCTATTGAATAACAGCCTTCAGAGTACAGATATCAAAAGTATCCAGTGGGGTCATCCCACATGTATTCAGCAGACATCTCAGGTATGGCCAGACCACGGCAGCAATTTGTTAGTTTGGCTTATGCCTCCATGTAAACCCCACCCGAGCTATCAAGCTAGCACTAGTTACGGCAAAAGATGCATTCATGAGGACCATAACTCTCAGTCAAGGTGATTATAAAGAACCAAGAAATGAGTATGAATTATAACAAAATTATACTCTTCTTCAAGCCAATGCAGCCAAAATCTCACCACATCCTTGGAAACACATCCCCAACTAATTGAAAGATGAAAGACATCCCTACTCCAACTAGAATTGTCCTTGTATTTTCAACTTAACCCATTCTCTCACAGTAGTAGTACATCCCCCAAAAGTCATGCCAAACAAGAAGTAACAGATATAGCAACAAATTTTGTTCTCTAAGATTCAAGTGGGTAGCATTAATAATTTTAGCAAATTCAAATGAAATATCTAAATGGGATTCTAAAACCTTACATCCAGTGTTTTTATATAATCACAAGATCCATACCCACTAACCAAAACAAATCTTTCTCAAGTCAAATCATTTATCTTCAACTTGTACAACTTTGTCATATCACAATCAAGATCGAAAACAAGTAGTAGTAGTAGTAGTTGAAGTAGTAGTAGGTACCTTAGCGAGGACTTGTTGGGGCAAATTGGAGCCCTGCAAGAAGGCAACAGCCTCAGCTCCACTGATCCGACCGTCGCGATCCAAATCTGCTCTCCGAAAGTAGGCATCGAATGGATCGATATTCGGCGTCTGGTTCTGCCCCGCCATTCCTCAAATTAATTTCGAAGATCGATCGGAGAAATGTCAAACGACAATCAAAGAGATGTCAAACCCTATGAATTGGGGATTTTAAGATCCAAGACCACCGAGGGATGGAGAGAGAGAGGGGGGGGCTTCGTGGGATCGAATGATTGGTCGGTTGCTTTGTTGGCTGAGTGCGAGTGAGAGATGATATTTGGGTTTAGTGATTCTCAAATTTATCGCTTTACAACTATTAAAATTTCAAAAATACCATACATCAAATGTTGTATTAAAATTTTTATCATATATACAAGATTCACATGGCGTGCATCTCACATGGCGTGCCTCCCCCACTTATATAAGATATTTTGTAAAATTTTTAAAATATTTAGGATTGAGGTAACTTGAATTAGTCAAAAAGTCAAAAAGTTACTTCAAAATCCAAAAAGATATAACTATTCATCCAAAAAAAATTAAAAAATTAATTTCTTTCAAAACAGGTACACACGAAATTGACAAATAGCCAGCGGCTGTGTGCGGCAGTGCAGAACAAAAGAAATGATTGGGTGTGATTTTTATACACACCGTTGTTCGTCTCATGGGGCAATCACGGGTCCCGTTTTGATAATCTGAACCGTTCAATATGTAGAAATCGTCGAGTAATATATGTCTGCCAAAAATCACATTAATCGGATATCGATAACTATATGATCAAATCAGTTATGTATAACAAATGGATGGTGTTATAATTAATGATTGAAAAATAAATAAATCTAATCAGATAGCTATCGATATCCGATTAACATGATTTTTTGTAGGTACATAGTGTTCGATGAGTTACACACATTGAACGGTTCAGATTATTAAAATGGGACCCGTGATGACCCCCACGGGCCAAACAAAACCGTCCAATGCTTTGTACAAAAATTAGCCAATAATTTTCAACCCCAATACACGGCTGCATTGTGTACGGCTGGGCCCACCACTCTCTAATCATCTCTTACACATTTTTTTTATACAATTTTTTAATACACATTTTTTCATAAAAATCTAAAAAGTTAACCCAAACCTCCATATTTTTTTCTCAACTTTTTTAATTCAAAAAGACAAAAAGTACACCTTTTTAAGACACCCCAAACCAGCCCTTAATATTACTTGTAAAAATTTAAAGTAATGGTAAGATCGGACCCAAATATTTTATTAAATATCTTATATAGTGTGGGACCATAGCGTCCTAGTATTTTTCAAAAATTTATGTAAATTGCATCCTTTTGTCACTTTTTTATTTTAATTCTTAAAGTTTATTTTTTTATTTTAATTTTTTTTAAAAAAATTGATTTCTATAAAAAATTATATAGACAATAACAATTGACAATCACGTAATATAAAAATATTTTATTATATATAACTCGTTTTTTATTTTAATTTTTTTTTAAAAAAAATTGATTTCTATAAAAAAATTATATAGACAATAACAATTGACAATCACGTAATATAAAAATATTTTATTATATATAACTCGCACATTTGATATAAACTTAAACTCTAATATAATATATTTTTGGATAAATTACAAATACATTTCTTGAGGTTTACTTAAAATACGAAATGCTCCATGTAGTTTAGAAAATTACAAATACCTTCCTGTCAGAATTTTTTATTTGACAAAATTAATTAAAAATGTGAAATTTCTAATTATTCACCTATATAATAATAAAATTATCAAAATTATTAATTGAAATAAAATTTTAACATTATTAAAAACTGTTAATTAACTTAAAGATTTATTAACAAAATGACCTATTTGTTATGAAATTAGAAATCTCAGGGGGCATAATGTAATTTCTAGAATCACAGAGGTAATTTATAATTTAAGTAAACCTCAGATGGTATGTTTGTAATTTACCCTATATTTTTATGTTATATAATAATTATTGTGGCATTTTCTATTTAATTTTTGTAAAAAATAACTTTAGGAGTAAAGTTGAAAAAATTAGAAACATGAAGAGTCAAAATAAGAAGGAAAAAAAATTAAGGACCAAAATAAGAAAGTGACCAAATATAAAGGGGGTAACGTATAATTTACTCAAAATTATATTAAAAAATATTATTCAAAAATATCAATTTTTTAACTTTGGTAACAGAAAATCATAACGTTTTAATTGATTCAATTTAACTTTGAAATTTTAAAATAATATCAATTTTAAGCTTTGTTTGAATCTGTTAATTAGTAACATTAATAAATAATGAGTAATTTAGACAATTTAATTTTTTTTTTTTTTGGCTTATTGACAGCCATCTCACACCCCTTCCATCGTCCATCATCACTCATTTTTTTCTCTAATACTAGTGTCACTCGTGCGATGCACAAGATTTTAAAAAGTCAATAATTATTACAAAAAAATTTATTATTTGTTTATATTTCTTAATATTTTTATTTGGTTTGTGTATATAAATCTTATTTCACATCATTAAAAATATTTAATATTTCACATTATTAAAATTTTTTAAAAAGTATCATACATTAGTAAATCATCACATATATAATAGCTAATTTATTTAAGAATTATTTCAGAAAATCAAAAGTAGAGTAACAAAGGCATATTATAATTAATCAAAATGACTAATATATTAAATAAAAGTAACACTAATTTTGCTTAATCAATAGTAGATATTACAGTAATCATCTCATATAATATAATAAATTAAAATAAAATTAATTTTAATTCCCATTATATTTAGTTAGTGGGTGGTTAAAATTTTTTACATGCTATTTGTTTTTTCGTTATATTGATTCATTAAACACAAATAGGTTTGGAATGATTATAAAAAAAATTTAAAAAAAATGTTTGAAAATGCATTATACTTGAATTGACAAACATAAAGAATATAAATATTTAAATTATTCAAAAAAAAATTAACATTTTAAATATGAGATATCTTCCATTTGCTCAAACTCTGAATCTAAATAAATAAATAAAAAATTTAAACAAAGAAGAAATTTGTGGTTTAGTTCTCAAAGGAAATGAGTTACTAAAAATAAATTTAATCATGAATTATTTCAATAGGATAGTCAACAATAAAAAATCAACTGATGAATACATTTAAAGTATAACCCATATCCAATAAATTTTGATTCTTCATTTTCAATCTAACATTTACACCAAAAAAAAATTAAACACAAATAATCAGTAAGTGAGGGAGTTACAAATTGATAATAGCAATACTTTTATAAATATAAAAAAAAGAATAAAATCTCAATTAAATGACACATTATTAACAAAAAGAAAGAAATAAGGAAAAATACAGATTGTAACAAAAAAAAATAAAAAATAATAATATTCATTTATATGAACTCACTTTCTTACAAATGCAAAAACGCATGCAAGTACACATTTCAAATGTAAAGCAAATATTTTAGATTTTTAGGCAGCGAAAAGGGATCAGAAATGGCTCAATGTTGATTGTTTTCCCCCCAATTTTCTGTTCATGGTTTTTTTTTGCAGGAACTTGTTTTTTTATTAAAAAGATTATGTTTAAACAAAAGATATATATAGAATTCTATCATGTTTAAAATTTGTATGGATAAGTAATTGATGATTTTAAAAGATAAAATATTAAGTTCCACTTAAAGATAAACTTTAAAAAGATTAAGTTGAAATATATAGAAATTCTATAACAAACTAACAAAAGATAAATATAGATCGTTAAAAAAATTATCATCTTTTTCGGATATTTATATCCCAATCTTATTCTTTTTTTTATTTAAATATTTTGTTATCTTATATTTGAATTTTCGTTAAATAGTTATATTTTTATTTTTGTATATTTTTTCATCTATATTTATTTGTTATTCATATATAAATAATTACCTTTTTATTTTAAAAATTAATTGACTCGTAATATTTTTTATTTATTTATTTATTTATCTTTTATTTGACTCTTTATATTATTTTATAGTTGAAATTTGAATAGTTATCTTTTTATTTTATTTATTTTAGATTATGTTTAAACAAAAAATATATATGGAATTTTATCATGTTTAAAATTTGTATGGATAAGTAATTAATGATTTTAAAAGATAAAATATTAAGTTTCACTTAAAGATAAACTTTAAAAAGATTAAGTTGAAATATATAGAAATGAGATTTAGATAATTAACAAATGATTAAAAATTAAGAAAAGTGGGAGGAGAGAATTGAAAAGTGACACATAAGAGAGAGAATTCATAAGAATTTAATATTAAGAGTTTGGAGAATTCTCATACTTCACTACATTTGTTTATATATATTGTATAGATAGATAGATAGATACTGTCGTCCCTTTATTCATTTTTCACGTCGACTATTACTTCTCTCTATTTCTAGCGCACTGCCGCTGTCTAACACTACTGTCAAAAAATAATTAAATTGCCTAATTGGTCCCGTTTCGTTAATTATAACTAATGAATAGTTAGAATTTATATCATTTTAAAAATTAAGAATTTAAATTGAAACAATTAAAAAATATATATTTACAAATATGAGTTTATTCTTTGACGTGGTTGATATCAAATAAAAATTTTAATCGAAAAGTAAATGATTATCATTTTTTTTTTCATTTATATGTTTTTCAAATAACCAAAATCTTAGGCCTTGTTTAGTTTATATTTTGAGATATTATTTCAAAAATAATTTTTTGAAGAGAGTTTAGAAAATTTTAAATTTTGTTTGGTTAGATATTGTTAACACCATAAATCTGCAATTTTTATTATTATTTATTATTTATATAATTGCAGGACACGTGGCATCCTCTTATTCATTTGGAAGTTAAAAGAAGTTATAGAGATAATGGAGAATATGAAGGACAAAGTGGATGAGTGGGAGGGCAAAGTGGATGAGTGGAATAACACATGGCAAGACAAGAATGAAGATGGAAGAAATGGGTAGTTACTAAGTAGTTATTGCTGTATTTTTTCTTCTATAAATAGCCATTAATGGCTGCATTGTAAAGGATCCAGAATTCATAATCAAAGACACTTGATTTCAATATTTCTTATCTTAGGAGTAGTTTAACATAGATTTATATTTCGAAGCATTTATTTTCAGCATTTCCATTTCGAAGCATTTTATGCACTTTCTTTTCGAAGCATAGGAGTAGAGGTAAGTAATTATTACTTTGATTGTTCACTCAATCGTCTTTCTCCGTCCCTCTTTCTTCTTTTACTTTTTCT